TGACATGCCATTTTTGGCCAAAAACGACTGAACACTCACAAAGTGTGGGCAGACGCGCTCATAAATCATCCATCATGAAACGGGCAAATGTATTGAAAGAATCTAAAATGTAAAAAAAAAATCACTGAAGCTGGATGCAGCCTCACACTACAAAGCTAGCTGATACACTGATGCTGATGGGTTCCTACGACACTCGCCTAGTGAGGGAAGCCTGTACTACAAGGGGCCCGCCCTCCAAAAATAATTGTTTTAGTTTGGGGGGGTCCCCCTTGTATACTATTTTATTTAACCCCCACGGCCGTCTTAGAAGGCCTGCTCCATGATCTCTGTTTCTTATAGAGGAGGAGACTGAGGTGCTAGGCAGTGCTAGGCAGCCTTATGACTAGTCTGAAATCATATAGCCAGAAAGTAGTCAAACTCAGATTTGTCTGACCACATGGCACCATGTAGCTTTTTAAAATGATGTCGGCTGGGCTCGGTGGCTCAGCCTGTAATCCCAGCACTTTGCAAGGCCGAGGCGAGTGGATTGCCCGAGCTTGCAGATTCGAGACCAGCCCAGGCAAATTGGCGAGACCTCATCTCTACAATAAACCAAAAAAATTACCCAGGTATGGTAGCGCGCATCTATAGTTCCAGCTACTTGGAAGGCTGAGGCTGATAGATCGCCAGAGCCCAGCGGGTCAATGCTGGGGTGGCCGTAAGCGAGCCACTGCACTCCAGCCTGGGCAACAGAGTGAGACTCTGACTCAAAAAAAAAAAAATGATGTCATATGGACACTGAGTCCCTAATTTGGACTCACTAGTTATCCCTGTAGCTCCCTTTCTTCTTATCATATATTCTTCTCATTGGTAACTATTTTTGTGACCCCAATTTGTCACTCTTATACTTGTAAAAGCAGTTCCTTGCTAAATACACTTCTGCTTTATTATATAATAGCTTTTGTTATTGCTACTGAATATGTTTTATTATATTTACATATATGACTTCACTTAATGCAAGTACCACACTATATATAAAATTATACTTACACACAACTCCTTCCCCAGTAAAATGGTTTTTTTTTTAGTTGAAGTTTCACTCTGTCACCCAGGCTGGAGTACAGTGGCACTATGATATTGTGCCAGTCTGATCAGAATCAAGTGATTATTTTCACTGTTATATTAATTTGTCAGTTTATATGTCTTTTCATACTTATTGGTCACATAGCTTTTTTATTTATTAAATACCAGTTTATATTCTTTGCCCAACTTCTATAAGGTTGTTAATTCCCTTCTTGACAATATGTAGTTGCTTTTTGGATATTACCCTCTATCTGCCAGCTGGGTCACAAGTTTACCCCCCAACTTATTGTCTATTGACATTGCTTATATATCTTTTTGCCATAGAACAATTTTGTTTATAAACAAGTGAAATATGTCTTTTTTTCTTTTTTACCTTTTGGGTTTCCAGTATTGTTTAAGATTCTTTCACTACTTCTAGGTTGTATATGTAATCTCCAAGATTTGAATATATATATTTTTTTGTGTTGGAGTCTCATTTTGTCACCCCAGATGGAGGGCAGTGGCATGCTCCCGGTCACCCCAGCCTCGACCTGCTGGGCTCAGGCGATCCTTCCGCCTCAGCCTTCCAAGTAGCTGGAACTACAGGCACATGCCATCATGCCCGGCTAATTTTTTGATTTATTGTAGAGATGAGGTCTCGCCAAGTTGCCCAGGCTGGTCTCGAACCCGTGGGCTCAGGCAATCCTCTCACCTCGGCTTCCCAAAGTGCTGGGATTATAGGCATGAGCCACCATGCCAAGCTCAAGATTTGAATTTTTAATAAATCTGGAATTTAATTTTTTGGTAAATGATGTAATTACGGATCTGATCATATTTTCATCTGGATGGATAGCTTCCGTTTATAATTATTTCTCATTTTAAAATTTATATTTTGACGTTTGTAAATCTACATATTAGTTTGATAGACTATGTATGGAATTTTTGAATAAATCCATATACATATATAGAGCTACATGTCCCACAACCCCAAAATGGCTCCTTAGCCCATGAGCTCCTGGAGGACAGGGATTATGTGTCTTTGAATCCATAGTTAAGACTGTCTCTGACAGTTGCCTTCAAAAACTGGTTGTTAGCCAGGCTCGGTGGCTCAGCCTGTAATCCCACACTTTGGGAGGCTGAGGTGAGTGGATTGCCTGAGCCCGTGGGTTCGAGACCTGCCCGGGCAACTTGGTGAGACCTCATCTCTACAATAAATCAAAAATTAGCCAGGCGTGGTTGCACGCGCCTGTAGTTCCAGCTACTTGGAAGGCTGAGATGGAAGGATCGCCAGAGCCCAGCAGGTCGAGGCTGCGGTGGCCAGGAGCGGCCACTGCACTCCAGTCTGGGTGAGGGAGTGAGACTCCAACTCAAAAAACAAAACAAAAGAAAAAAAACTGCTTGTTAAATAAATGAATGAAGCTGTCAGTATCTGAATCATGTGTCTTAAGCAATTGAGAAACTTGACATTCCAGCTGTGTCCTGTGGCAAGAACAAGGCTAAGAACAAGCAATGACTCATAATGGCAGGTAGTATAACTTCACTAGTGTGAAGTTTACCCAGACATTTTAATATGAGAATATGGATTCTTAAAAATCTTATACACCTCCCTGTAGTGTCTAATCCATGGGTGCTTAGAAAACTGGTAATTATCTTTTTGTGAATACATCCCCTCATATTGGTTAACTATTTATTCATTCATTCATTCATTTATTTATTGAGTAGGACTCTCACTCTGTCACCCAGGCTGGAGGGCAGTGGTATGCTCAAGGCCACCACAGCCTTGACCTGTTGGGCTCAGGTGATTCTTCCGCCTCAGCCTTCCAAGTAGTTGGAACTGCAGGCACGCACCACCATGCCTGGCTAATTTTTTGATTTTATTATATAGATGAAGTCTCGCCCAGGCTGGTCTGGAACCTGTGGACTCAGGCAAGCCTCTCACAGTGGCCTCCCAAAGTGCTGGGATTATAGGCATGAGCCACGGTGCTGGGCCTTGGTTAACTATTTAATACCAGTGATCTACTCTATAATGGCAGTTTGCAGGAAGAATCAATAATCAATCTCCTCAATACTTTAATGACAGTGGCATTATTATATTTAATTTTATATTGTGAACTTCCAAAAGACAAAGGCTTTATGAAACATGTATTCTGGATAGTGTCCAAGACCTCTGACATCAGTTATTAGTTGGGAAATCTCAAATGTCCTTTTCCTTACCAAAAATAGCATTTACTTTCCTGGGGTTTTTTGTTTGTTTTTGTTCTTGAGTTAGTCTCACTCCGTCGCCCAGGCCTTTGCAGCCTCGACCTGCTGAGCTCAGGCAATCCTTCTGCCTCAGCCTTCCAAGTAGCTGGAACCACAGGCGTGCACTACTGCGCCCGGCTAATTTTTTGATTTATGATAGAGCCGAGGTCTCGCCAAGTTGCCAAGGCTGGTCTCAACCCTGCAGGCTCAGATAATCCACTCACCTTGGCCTCCCAAAGTGCTGGGATTACAGGCTGAGCCACCGAGTTCGGCCTACTTCCCTGGGTTAACTGTTTTTAATAATAATATTGAACAAAATTTAATTTACTCAACCAGATGGGTTATGTTTAACCTGGTTGTGCCCTTTGGACTTCTTTTATATTGACTTTTTTACAGCTTTCTACATTCCTTTTTAAAACAAAACAGAAAAAAAAAGTTTTCTTTCTTTCTTTTTGATTCCAGCAGATTGTTACAAATGAGGTAGGTGCTTCTGCCGCTGGACATTATAGCTCTTGTTTTTTTTTTTTTTTTTTAGTTTCAGCGCTCACCTAACACCACTCCCCCTTGTGGCTTTGGGAATCAGAAACCACGCCAGACTTCAGGCTTGCTTGTGCTGTAGGTCAAATGGTGTTGAAGACCAGCAGTTATTTACTATTTAGCTTATTTTGCCCCTATCCTCTTCTTGAGCTTATTAGAGGGAAGAGGATAACCAAGAACAAAGGAACACAAGTTCAAGAAGAAGTAACTGTCTGTTTTTTAAATTCACTTAGAAAGCATACGCAATATTTGCTTAGAATAGCCTGGGATATTTATTCTCATCCACTCTGCCCCGCAGAGGCGTCGCCTATTCCTTCTGACTTAAAATGTGAGCCACATGGCAGAACCAAATTTAAAAGCGAATCCATGATCTGTCCAGTTGGGTTATTGAGTGCACTGGATGCATTCTCAAAAATTAGCCTGCCAGTTAACATGATGATTATATTTAGAAGTATACATTAAAAAATAAAATTCACACCTAAACAAATCAAAAGCTTTAGTGTCTGCCATCGATACTAGTATAAAATCCTTATTTTGATAAACCAAACATGAGATCCTAAACAACACTTCATGACGAATATAAGAAAATCCTCTCTCACGATAAGACCCTTGCAGGAAAAAAAGAAAATAAATTCGTTCCAAAACTAAATTACTACTTAAGCAAAAACTTGCCTCTGCGGCTTTCGCGCTGCTGGGGAGACAGTCGACAGACACCGCGAAGAAACGGATGAGATCCGAGAAACGCCTAACATAGTGCTAACTTCACAGAAAAATATTTAAAATTTTTTTTTTTCAGATTATGAGTTAAGAGTTAAAGAACCAAATGAAATACGATAAAGTTGCTTTATTAGAACTGGAAGAGTTGCTAAAAAAAAAAAAGAGACGTTTAATTTGAATGTCGAACGCAGGAGCAGTGAAGTCCTTCCCGCGCCGGAACTCTGGGAAATGTAGTTGGGAAGGGGCGAGGGTTTCTCGGGCGGAATCCAATTCCCTTAGTTAGTGCTTGGTGGACGGGGACTCGTTAGGGCCAATCTAGTGTTCCAGGGTCCTCATTGGATCCGTGCATTGACCACTTAATGTGTTTCCCTAGCTCGCCAATGAGCGCTTTAGTCTAAGAATACCTTCCGTGATTGGATATTTTGTCTTGGCGTGGGACCCACTATCAGCCAATGGAAGAGCAGAACCGGCGGAGGTGACAGGTCACTGGGGGAGAGCCTGCAGGGCCGTTCCTCGCCAGCGCCTTAGCTCTTTGGCTTCTTGAGTCAGTCCGGTTGTTTGCCATCGCCGAGGCCCGGGCTGCGAACAGAGGAGCCTTCTCCGCGCTGCCAAGGTCCCTCTACCTCATCCATACGTGTGCCCTGATGGTGCGGCAGGCTCTGGACTCCTAAAGCTCTGGAGCGGTATGTAGGGTCCACGGGCATCAGACAAAAAGCAATGGAATCGGGAAGGCCGCGGCAAGCGGCCCCTGCACCGAGGCGGCGAATCTGCCTGGGAGATGGCGCCCTGCCTGCCTTCTTGTCAGGACCCAGCGCGTCCGCATCTTAGAACGCTCCCACTCCCCGGCGTCCTGTGAACATGTCAGCTTTGTTCGCTTGCTCTTCGTCCCCTTCATGTCCGACCTTTCCTAAGCGTGGCATCATTAACGGGGGTCATCTCCCCTCTTGCTCTCCCCCCGCCCCCCCGTGCATTCTTTGGTAACTTCGTATTACTTTTGTGCACCTGCGTGTCTCCTAAGGACGTCGTTGTGTTTGGCTTAACTCCAGAGAGACCAGTGTTCACATCTTTGTGATTTTGGGGTTTTTAACTGCCCTTGAGGGCGTTCGTGCTACCAACTCCTTTCGTGTATCTTAGTCTTCTGAAGTGTCAGGGCGGTGCAGATACCGCCAACACCTTGGCGGGACAGAAATTGCCGGCGTTCTGTTTTACCATCTCGCGCATTATTGCCTTTGAGTCTCGTAACCGCTCAGGAATGTTATGTTAGAAAACAGGTTCCGAGGAGTCAACGAACTTCTCAAAGTTACAGTTAACTCTGTTTTAGGAAAGGAAAAACCAGGTTCGATCTCAGTGCCTATTTTATTTAAAGGTCGCTTAACTGAATAAGGATTCAGATTATACGTGAGATTATACTCTCTGCAGCTCAGAATGCGAGAGCTAGTTTTTGGAGTTGAATGGTGAATCTTGACTGAAAGTATTTCTGTTCTTAGAACCAGAGAAGTCCTTCCAGTGCCTAATCTGCCTAATTATAGGTGTCTCACGTGTATCATCTGTTTGCTTCTCAAAGTGTGACAAGCAACACAGCCTCACCTGGAAGCTTGTTGGAAATGCAGTGTCTCAGGCCCCATCCTCATGTACTTAATCCGAATTTGCTTTTTACAAGATCCCTTAGGTGACCAGAGTATTCATTAAAAGTTGAGATGCATTCATTGTCTTAAATGATTTTTTTTTTGTTCCTGTCTTGTGTGCTAATAAGACTGAGGCATAGGCCAGGCCCAGTGGCTCACACCTGTACTCCAGCAATTTGGGAGGCCAAGGCAGGAGGATTGCTTCAGCCCAAGAGTTCAAGTCCAGCTAGAATAACATAGCGAGACCTCATCTCTATGAAAATATCAAAAAATTAACTGGGCATCGTGGTACATGTCTATAGTCCCAGCTACTTAGGAGGCTGAAGTGGAAGGATCATCTGAGCCCAGGAAGTCAAGATTATGGTGAGCCTGGGTAACAGTGAGACTCCGATTTAAAAAAAAAAAAAAAAAAAAAGACTGGAACACGGACTAGGGTAGTTTTTTAAAATGATTCATCACTTGTTAGTGAGGCTGTGATTTTTTAAAAAAATGTTGGTAATTTTCGCTCAGCAACCAAAAATCTTAAAGTAGACAAGAATATTTAAATAGTAATTAAAAACTATGTATCTTGTATGACATTAGGTGCTGGTCTTAAAAATAAAAAGCAAGGCGGGTGCGTTGGCTCACATCTATAATCCCAGCACGCTGGGAGGCAGAGACAAGAGAATTGCCTGAGTCCAAGGGTTCGAGACCAGCTTGGGCAACTTGGTGAGAACTTGTTTCTACAATTAAAAAAAAATTAGCCAGACGTAGTGGCACATGTTTGTAGTTCCGGCTACTTGGAATACTGAGGCGGAAGGATCACCTGAGCCCGGCAGGTTGAGGCTGTGATGGCCATGAGCATGTCACTGCACTCCAGCCTGGGCAACAGAGTGAGACTCATACTAAAAAAAAAAAAGTAAGAAGCAGACTGAGATAAAAGAAGTGTTAAATACTGCTGACAGTTAATTGACAATAATAACTACGTTTTCAAAAACCTTTTGTTTACCCACACACAATCTGTGCACAGACTAATTCCCCGCTGTAATTTTCCTCCACAATTTTTGTTCTATTGATCAATAGTTTCTAATCAGTTTCTTTGGAAGAAATGGGTAGATTTGCTATTGCCAGTGGCTTTTCCAGTTTATTAATTTGGTGACCTGGCAGTGAAACTGAAAATTAGTCCCAAATTCACAGTCTCATGTTGCTTAGTAATTAAAGTCTCTTGTAGAGTTTTAGTGCTTAGCATTTTATTCAAGGTAGGAGAAGAAAGTTTGTTTTACAATTCAAGTATAGCTCATTGGTGCTCTAAAATTGCTTAGATCCATGTATTTAAGATTATTTAAAAATTATTTTGAGGCCTGCCAAGTTAAGAATAGAGAAAGAAGGATAGACTGAATCTTGAAATAATCGTTTTAAAAGATTTTTCCACCCAGTGAAGGCAGACTTTTTTTTTTTTTTCAAATTTAAGAAACAGGGTCTCACTAAGTTGTTCAGGGTGGAGTGCAGTGGCTATTCCCAGGCACTATCATAGCTCACTGCAGCCTCAAACTCCCGTGCTCAGGTGATTCTCCTGCTCCAGCCTCCTGAGAGACTGGGACTACAGGTGCATGCCATCTGGCCCAGCAAAGGCAGACATTTTTATCAAACAGCTTGAGTGCTTGTGTGAAATTGATAGAATTAACACAAAAGCACAGTATTATCTAATACATCAACTGGGGTTAAAGTAGTAACTTCAGCTTATCTGTTTTCATGTTCTTTTCTTTCTTTTTCTTTTTTTTTTTGAGTTGGAGTCTCACTTTGTCACTCAGGCTGGAGTGCAGTGGCACAATCATAGCTCACCAGAGCCTTGACCTTTTGTCTCAGTCTCCTGAGTAGCTAGTACTACAGGTATATACCACCACACCCAACTAATTTTTCTGAATTTTTTTTTTTTTTGCAAAGACAAGTTCTCACTGTGTTGCCCAAGTGGGTCTTAAACTTCTGGGCTCAAGTGTTCCTCCTGCCTTGGCCTCTCAAAGTGCTGGGATTACAGGTGTGAGCCACTGGGCCTGGCTGTTTCCATTTTCTTAACTGTACTATAGGTATCTTTTGCAAAATCTTGTTTGTGAACTCAGCAATCTATAGAAATATTGATCATTTAACAGAATTCTGGCAATTCAGTTAGAAATAGATGTCAGGGTAACTTGATATAAAAAATATTACAATAAGAGAAGAAAATGAATCTTAACAGTGAGGAATTCTCTCTGGGAGTGTTTTTGTTTTTGTTTTGAGTTGGAATCTCACTCTTTGTCCTCCAGGCTGGAGTACAGTGACACACTCATGACCACGGCAGCCTCAATCTGCTGGGCTTAGGCAATCCTTCTGCCTCAGCCTTCCAAGTTCCTGGAACTACAGTCAAACACCATCAAGCCCAGCAAGTTTACAGCGGTGTGTGTGTGTGTGTGTGTGTGTGTGTGTGTGTGTGTGTGTGTGTGTGTGTGATTTATTGTAGAGACAAGGACCCACCAAGTTGCCGAGCTGGTCTCGAACCCCTTGGCTCAGGCAGTCCTCTTGCCTTGGCCTCCCAAAGTGCTGGGATTACAGGCTGAGCCACCACGCCCAGCCTCTCTGGGAACTTTGCATAATATCCTTTTAATTTGGAGAACATGTTACAGCTTCTATCAGCTTTTCTTGCCTTCACTTAAATGCCTTCGGAAATGCAGTGCTTGACCACAGCTTCTGCCTCTCTTAATAAATACAGTCAACCCTTGGCATCCTCGGATTCAACCTACCACGGATCGAAAATACTGGATAATATTTTCAGAAGGTGAAACCTCTGGGTACTGAGGCCCAACTGTATTAGTTTAAGATCTTTGATGCCTCCTGGTAATCCTGATCCTTTCCTATGCAGATCCTGATTTGAGCCCACTCCTTATCTGTGCTCTTTGTAGGCTAGAAGTCTTAGCTATTTTGACTTTTGTTCACCTCAAAGGAACAGGAAAGCTGTACAACTTTTTCAGGATTATTCCTACTCGATACTTACCTAATGATTCCTTAGAAGAGAATGGAATGCTCCATTTCTAAGACTAGCATGTATACAAAAGGCCATCACTCAGAGCATTTGGTTCCTTTTATTCTGTGATTTATTTTTTTAAATTTTATTGTAAATTAACAATTATAAACATGGTATACAAAGTGGTGTTATAATTCATTACCATAATGTGGAATAATTAAATCAAGCTAATTAACATATCTGTCACCTGAAATACTTATTTTTCTTGGTGAGAACATTTAAAATTTATCCTGGTAGCAATTTTGAAATGTACAATACACTATTTCTGTTCACCATCTTGTGCAATAATTCTTAAAAAAAAACACCCCCACTTATTATTCCTGTGGTCTAAGAGTTTGTGTCCTTTGACCATCTCCCCATTTTGCCTATCCCCCCAACTTCTTAACCACCAGTCTTTCTGATTCTATGAGTTCGATCCCACATTTAAGCGACAACATATGATATTTGCCATAGTTGATTTCACTTAGCATAATGTTTTCCACTTCCATCCATGTTATCACAAACTACAGCATTTTCTTCTTTTTAAAGGCATCTCTGACAAACTGATTTCAAATCTTTTGGGTAAATACCCAGAAGTGGGATTGCTAGATAGAGTATTTGGTGCTTTAACTGTGACTTGACTCTTGGGCCTTTGAGCAATAATTGATTCTTCAGGTTCCATATTGGATAGGATTTGTGCTGGTGACAGCACAGAAAACTTATGGGGAAATTGGTTTGTAAACAGGAAAATTCAGGAGGATGCTAATAGAGGCACCTAAGAGGCAACAAGCCCTCCAATCCCTTAGTTGTGTTTTTGTGTATTCAGTCTGTTGCTTTTTTTTCAATTCTGACTTTTAAAACGATTTAGAAATAATTTTTTTGTAGAGATAAGGTCTTACTACATTGCCCAGGCTGGTTGAACTCCTGGACTCAAGCTATCCTTCTGCTCAACCTCCCAAAGTGTTAGAATTGCATGTGTGCGCCACCGAGCCCGGCCTGTCCTGACTTTTTAATAATTGCAGTAGTATCTTTAATGTTTTCATCTTCAAAAAATTACTTGTCAAGTACTACCCTATTAAGGTCCTCTTTTCTCTGAGTTTTTTATTTTGTATTCGCTTGCAGATTTAAAATATTTATTAATTTATTGTATTTTATCTGGAATATGATTTTTTTTTTTTTTTGCCAAGTGTTATGAGTTAAAGATCCGTAGTGGTTTTAAATTGGTTAAGAAATGATTCCAAAGCCATGTATTGAATGATGATTTCTGACACCATGCAACGTAGCTACCATTTATTGAGCATTCACTATGTACTAGATACTGTATTGCCTTTTTGTGTGTGTAATTTTATCTGGTCAATAAGCTCTTGGTAGCTGCTGTAATTAAGTTCATTTTACCAATGAAACTGAGATAGAGTTTAAGAGATTTTCCTAAAATCACCAAGTTACCCAGCGATGGAGCCTGTGTCTAATTTGGTTGGTCCTTCTTTCTTATATTGAATGCATGTCTTTATCCCTCCCCTTTCTCCAATTAATATACTACTTATAAGTTTGTATATTTCAATACGTGGTACAGCCAGTTCTGCTTTGTTATCTTTTTCCTTCAAGATAACTTTGCCTTTCTGGACTACAGACCCTTCACAGTTGACATTGTTATTGAAATTAGCATAAACTCATTAATTTATGAAAGGTATTTACATTTTTATATTTCAAATAAAGAATATACTATAAATTGAAGTTATTCTTTTTAACTTGCTGCATATAAAAAAGTTATTCCTTGCTGTTTGTAGGCTTTTGTATGTCTGCATGTTGCATTTTCTAAAATAAGATACCCTCTTTTATGGAAAAAGATATGCTCTAACTTTAAAAGGAAAGTATGGAAAGTGGAAAGACTACTGATGAGTTTAGAAAATAGTAAATGAGATTTTGGCCCAGTTTTATACCAACAAGCTTTTGTGACCTGGGGCAAATTATTGAACTTTTCTGTGACTGTTTGCTTATTTGGCAAATGAATTACTTCAGATTTTGTTTCATTCTTCCTGTTCTTGATCTTCTGTTAGGGCAGTAGAGAACGACATACTCAGATGGACTGATGTGCTTAGGTTCAGTCCAGATTCACTGATTTTTTTCAAACTCTGCTGTCCTGAGGCACAGGAAAATACCTCTTTTGGCTTCTTTGTTTACAGCTGCCTTTGACTCCCTTCTTTCTCCAAGGGCATTTTATCTTTGTTCACTCAGTATGCTGGGTTTTTGTTCATCGAATAAGAACACAAGCTGTCAGCTAGCCACTTTTCCCTGAGATACTTGTTTTGGGTCTAGAAATGTTCTAGAGGGGAAAAATAAGTACTGGCAGTGTTACAGTTTGAGAATATAATGAAGGTTACAAGCTTGAACTGTAAAGATCTTGTTTATTGTGACTTTAGTGTTAAAATATGTATTGCTAAAAAGGAATTTATTGGAATATTGAGGGTGACATATGTTCTTTAAACATTGTGCACACATACATTTTTTCAGTCATCTTATGTTCATTTTACTTTTCTCCAACTGTAAAGTTGCCAGTACTTAAGTTTTTGTGTGAGTTAGAGTCATCTGTTTCTTTCTAAAGGTGTTATAATCCTGGTTATTTAACAAGTGCCATAATATACCTCAGCAGCCTAGGACTAATTTTGCAAACCTTTTCTACAGAATTTAAGAAGATTTTATTCATGTTCATGGCATAGAAGATGAATTCTTCCTCCTCTACCATGAATGAAGAACCTGATGCTCTATCGGTAGTTAACCAGTTACGCGATCTAGCAGCAGATCCATTAAACAGAAGAGCCATCGTCCAGGATCAGGGATGTCTGCCTGGCCTTATTTTATTTATGGACCATCCCAATCCCTCTGTTGTCCACTCGGCTTTGCTTGTAAGTTCCCTGTAGTAATTTCAGTCTCAGTGTTTTATTTTTGTGATTAAGGGGGATTTGACAAGACATTAGATAACATGGTAAGAAAAATGAAAGAGACTATAGGGAGAGCAATTAATAGTCTGTATTTCTGCATGTATAAACATATATATGTGTGTGTGTAGTCCTTTTACACAAATGGTAGCATGGAACATTGTTTTTATCCTTTAATATAAATGGTAGCATACTACATGCATGGAATGTTCTGCAGCTTCCTCTTTTTATTTAAGAATTCTTGAAGGTTATATTATTAGTACAGGTAGACATTCAAAAAAAGACCCTTTTTTTTCCTTCTTTGAGTTGGAATCTCACTCTGTTGCCCAGGCTGGAGTGCAATGGCTCATTCACAGCCACTGCAGCCTTGACCTGCTGGGCTTAGGTGATCCTTCTGCCTCAGCCTTCAAGTAGCTAGAACTACAGGCATGTGCTACCATGCCCAGCTTATTTTTTGATTTATTGTAGAGATGAGGTCTTACCAAGTTGCCCAGGCTGGTCTTGAACCCCCGGGCTCAGGCAATCCTCTCTCCTCGGTCTCAAAGTGCTGGGATTACAGGCTGAGCCACTGTGCCCAACTGTTTTGTTTTTAACAAACAAAACTATTCAGTGGTTTTTAGTATATTCACAGAGTTGTGCAACCATCACCACAACCAATTTTAGAACAATTTTATCACCTCAAAAAGAAATCCGGTACTTTTTACCTATTGCTCCCCAGTCCCCCACTCCCTATCCCTAAGCAACCACTAATCTACTTTGTCTGTATTTGCCTGTTCTGGAAAATTGCCTATTATTTTGCATGTAAATAGAATAATATACTCTGTGGTCTTTTGTGACTCGTTTCTTTCACCAAATGTAATATTTTCAAGATTTATCCCTACTGTAGCATATATTAGAGCTTCATTCCTCTTCATGACTGAACAATATTCCATTGTATGGACATGCCACAGTCTATCTACCTATTCATTAGTTGTTGGATGTGGCACTTATTTTAATATGAGATGAGAGAAAAAGATAAGAAAGAAAAATATACAGGATCATAGCTAGTAATTCACAAGGAAATGTCATGTTATGGGAAATATGAGGGCTAGAGAAACATGTTGAAGAACAGCACAAGACAATCAGATAAATCCAGAATGTGACAATTTCAGTAGAACAGATAACCTGGTTCCTTGAACAACAAGTGGCATTAAAAAGAAAAGCAGTTGGGGTAGAGGAGAGGGATATCCATAACTGTTATAGATTTCTTTTCTTCTGGTTATGGTTTATATTTTCCTGCTTTTTATGCCTGGTGAATTTTGTTTTGTGTTGTTTTTAGAGACAGGTTCTTGCTTTGTCACCCAGGCTGAAGTGCAGTGGTGCAATCTTGTCTCATTGCAGCCTTCATCTTATGAACTAAAGTGATCCTTCTACCTCCAGCCTGTCAAGTGTGCACCACCATGCCCAGCTAATTTTTTTTTTTTTTTTGTAATGAAAGGGTCTTGCTGTGTTACCCAGGCTGAAGTACAGCAGCATGCTCACAGCTTCTGCAGCCTCGACCTGCTGGGCTCAGGAGATCCTTTTGCCTCATCCTTCCAGGTTGCTGGAACTCTAGGCGCCTGCTACCATGCCCAGCTAATTTTTTAATTTACTGTAAAGATGAGGTCTCACCAAGTTGCCCAGGCTGATCTTTGAACCCCTGGGCTCAGACAAACCTCTCACCTCTGCCTCCCAGAGTTCTTGAATTACATGTGTGAGTGGCCATGCCTGGCCAAGTGATCTTCTTTTGAGGATTCTCCTGATACCTCATTTATGGTGAGGTTTTATACCTCTGGCTGGTAGTATCGCAAACTATTGGCAACCCATTGTGAACTTCAGGAATTGTTTTTCCTACTTTCTGGAGGTTTTATTCTCTAGCCCTGTGGCCTTTTATACCTGGTTTGTATAGATTAATATTCAGCCAAAGATTCTTAGGCACCCCTCTGCAGGTCTCTAGAACTTTCTTGCTTTGTAGATCCCGCCTCTCTGTTACTCTGCTATGCAAATTGTAGCTGCCCCAACCTCCAAATCTGTTCTCTGCCTTCCAAACTCAGCAAAACCACTGGGCCCATTTGGGTTTCCTTTCTCTATGCTGCAAAGCAGTAAACTGGGGCAGTTATAGGGCCCACCTCATCATTTCTCTTTTCTCAGGGATTACAGGCCTTTTGTTCAGTGTCTGAAAACGGGCATTTTACACACTTTGTCCACGTTGTTAGTTTTTTATAGAAGGAGATACAACTCCCATAACAGTTAATTCTTTATGGGCTGAAGTAGAAGTCATAGTAGGAGTAGTTGCAGGAAAGGTAGAGGTTTTTAGTTAGAGGCTGTTGAATTTCTGATTTCATAGATGGCACACTCTTTTTTTTTTGAGTCAGAGTCTCACCCTCTCACCCAGGCTGGAGTGCAGTGGCATACTCGCGGCCATTGCAGCCTCGACCTGTTGGGCTCAGTCTTCCACCTCAGCCTTCCAAGTAGTAACTACAGGTACATGTCACCATGCCCAGCTAATTTTTTTTGATTTATTGTAGAGATGAGGTCTCACCAAGTTGCTCAGACTGGTCTCGAACCTATGGGCTCAGGTAATCCTCTCATCTCGGCCTCCCAAAGTGCTGGGATTATAGGCACGAGCCACCATGCTGAGCCAATGGCACACTTTCAGTAGTGACCAGGCACTTTGGAAATGGAAGATAAAAAACCAGTGGAAGTAAAAAGGTCAGTGTACTGAGATGGCAGAGTTTCAGATAGTGTAGTCCACAGAGGTTGTTCCCTAAGAATCAAGTACCAAAGTCTTCAGTAAATGGTGAGTGAGCAGCAAGTTGGAGCTGACAGTAGTAGTCTGATGTAAAGAGGGAACAGTTTAATTAGCTCCCTAAAGAAGGAGCATGAGAAATGCTTGCACAAAAATGTATTTTAAACATTAAGAGAAAAACACCCTAGAAAATTAGCTTAACTCACAAAATAGAAAATCTGTATTAAGTTAATCTTTTGTTTTTCAGTTAAAAAAACACACATCTTAATGGTAAACTGTAGTAAAACTGAAGTCAATTCATTCCATAAAGGTGGTTGTATGCTTTGCATTCCTTAGCAATTTATTTTAATTAATGTGTAAAAAAGTACCTAGGGAAATGATGGCTATTGGGACTACTCCCTGAAATTAATAAGTGGGATAGGGTTTCTTTCCAAGACACAGAGTAGTGAAAATAAAACTGGAACAACCAAATTTTGACCTTGCAGATAAGTTAGGAACCTTCATTTCAAAGATCAGATTCAGCTACTACAGCTCACAAGATCATTTCTTAGGGAATGGTTCTGATTATCACATTTAAAGGTAAGTTTCTAAACACTTCATAACCATTTGATTCTAAAAACAAAAAAAAACTATTTTTGTCTTATTCCTCTTGCAGTAAGTTAGTTGTTTTAATTTTGAATAGTCTGGACAGTGAATTAATCTGTTATTTCTGCTGTAGGCTCTTCGATACTTGGCAGAATGCCGTGCGAACAGAGAAAAGATGAAGGGAGAACTGGGTATGATGTTGAGCTTGCAAAATGTTGTACAGAAGTAAGTACAAAAGATATTGTCTCCTACTGCAGTAGAACAATGGGTCTTGATTATTAAGATAAAATTTAACTGAAATCTTTTTTTTTCCTTGAGTCGAAGTATCATTCTGTCACCCAGGCTGGAGTGCAGTGACATGATTGTGACTCACCGTAGCCTTGATCTCCTGGGCTCAAGTAATCCTCCTGCCTCAACCTCCCAAGTAACTGGGACTACAGGCGTGTACCACCACGCCTCAATAATTTTTAAATTTTTTGTAGAAATGAGGTCTCACTATGTTGCCTAGGCTGGTCTCGAATTCCTGAGTTTAAGCAGTCCTTCCTCTTCAGCCTCTCAAAGTGCTAGGATTACAGGTGTAAGCCACCACACCCAGCCTTGAAGTTTTAATTCTAAATAAAGGCATCCTTTCATTTGTTATATGTCCAAATATATTTTCATAATTAATCTTTTGATCATTGTTAAACATTGCTGTTAGGAATAGTCCTTATTTAAAATGTTGACAAATACTGTACAGATGCTTACAAATAATTTTTTTTTTTTTTTGAGTTGTAGTCTCACTCTGTCACCCAGGATGGAGTGCAGTAGCACAATCACAGCTTACTGCAGCCTCGATCTCCTGGGCTCAGGCAGTCCTTCCACCTCAGCCTCCCTTGGAGCTGGGACTACAGGTGCGTGCCACCACACCTGGCTAATTTTTTTTTTTTTTTTTGTAGAGACAAGTTCTCACCATGTTGCCTAGACTGGTCTTGAATTCCTGGGCTCAAGCAGTCCTTCCATCAGCCTCCCAAAATGCTGGGATTACAGGTGTGAGCCACCATGCTTGGCCAGATGAATAATATTTTTTGAAAGAGAAAATTCTACACTGTATAAAGTTTTATAAAGTAATGTAAGCTGATTTACTTGTAGAGCAACACAAGTCACTACACATGTTTGACAGTATGCAGTATTATGGAATGGTACACAGTTATTTTGTTATTGTATCCTGCTTTTACTCAGAAGAACCTTCATCAGGATCATGGCAGTTCAAGGACTTCGATGAGATTTTTATAACTCAAGACTTAGGGCAGTTTAATTTGGTTTTAAACAAATGGGTGTTTTTTTTAATTGTACCCTTCATTTTACTAAGATTTTTTGTATCCATTTTCTCATTTTGTTATTTACAACTTTTTGAGATAGGCTTGACAGATACTAACTTTGTTTTATGGTCGAGGATAATATAGAGAGGCCAAGTTACTTACCTGAAGTTCTTCAACTGTATTTCCTCTGGGACTGCTTGGTTTTGCTTCTTAAGTCTTGCTGATTTCCTTGTACAAGTCTACAACTTGAAAGTTAGATGTTTTGAGATTTTTACTGTATCTGCAAGCAAAATAGACTATATTTTTTGAAATAATTATTTTAGTTTACTTTGTGTGAACAATGTGGTGATTGTTGCTCACTCTTCTTTTTTTTTTTTTGAGTCAGATTCTCACTCTACTGCCCATGCTGGAGTGCAGTAGCACTCTCAGGGTTATTGCAGCCTCAACCTGCTGGGCTTAGGTGATCCTTCCACCTCAGCCTTCCAGGCAGCTGAAATTATAGGCGCGTGCCACCACACCCAGCTAAGTTTTTGATTTATTGTAGAGATAAGGTCTTGCCAAGTTGCCCAGGCTGGTCTTGAACCCCCTGGACTCAGGCATTGCTTTCACCTCGGCCCCTCCCAAAGTGCTGGGATTACAGACGTGAGCCACCGTGCCTGGCTTGCTCACTCTTTTGATGGTAAAACAAATGTATGCTCATCGAATACTCCACTATAATTTGGTCCTATAGCCCTCTTAAAAGTGGAGATAATGGTGTAATAATTTTTATATACATTTTGCAGCTCATTTGGCTGCTGGAGATCCCAGATTTGCAGCTTGCCTTGCAAGCTTTTTTAAATTTTAATTTTTTTATTAAAAAAAATTTTTTTGAGTCAAAGTCTTACTCTTCACCCAGGCTGGAGTACATTGTCAACATCAGGTCTTACTACAGAGTTGATTTCCTGGGCTCTGGCGATCCTTCTGCCTCAGCCTCTTGCCTCAGCCTCCTAAGTAGCTGGGGTTACAGGCACGTGCCAGCACACCCAGCTAATTTTTTGAGCCTTTCAACCCTTTTATTTTTTTATTTTTAATTTTTGAGTCAGAGTCTCACCCTGTCGCCCAGGCTTGAGTGCAGTGGCACGCTCACGGCCACTGCAGCCTCGACCTGCTGGGCTCAAGTGATTCTTCCACCTCAGCCTTCCAAGCAACTGGAACTACAGGCATGCACCACCATGCCCAGCTACTTTTTTTTTATTGTAGAGATGAGGTCTCGCCAAGTTTCCCAGGCTGGTCTCCTTTCAAGCTTTTTAAAAATCACTTCTGTTTACCCAAAATAGCCAATCTTAGAAGTTTATCAGTGTTTAGACATGCACTGTTTAATGATTTAGGTCAACAATGGACCACATATATGACAGTGGTCACATAAGGTTATGATATGGTATTTTTACTGCACCTTTTCTATGTTTAGATGCACATATACTTACCATTGTATTACCATTGCCTACACTGTGCAGTATAGTAACAGGCTGTACAGGTTGGCAGCCCAGGAGCAGTGCTATAGCCTAGGTGTGTAGTAGGCTATACGATCTAGGTTTGTGTAATTACACTCTCTGGTGTTTACACAACAGTGTCTCGCTACGCATTTCTCAGAATGTATCCCTTTCATTAAGTGACACAAGTCTGTGTTTGTTATCTTAGTGTAACTATCAGAAGGTTAATAAAACTATGTGTTTTGGCTTGTAAATATCAAGACTATGAAGTGTTAGAATTGAATTTTAGTTCAGCATGTTTAATATTGTACTGGGAGCTACGTTATGGCTCAGACATGATTTTCCTTTTTTAAGAAAATTGATTACCTTGGTATTTTTACAGGGTGAACATCCCTAATCAAAAATCCAAAATGCTCCAAAATCTGAAACTTGTATTTATTTATTTTTAACGCTGGAGTCTCACTCTATTGCCCAGGCTGGAGTACTGTGTCACACTTATGGCTACTGCAGCCTCGACCTGCTATGTTCAGCGATCCTTCTGCCTCAGCCTTCCAGGTGGCTGGAAGTACAGGCATGCGCCACCACGCCCGGCCAGTTTTTTTGATTTATTGTAGAGATGAAGTCTTGTCTTGTTGCCCAGGCTAGTCTTGAACCCATAGGTTCAGACAATTCTCTCGCCTTGGCCTCCCAAAGTGCTGAAATTATAGGTATGAGCCACCATGCCCAGCCCCAGAATCTAAAACTTTTTGATCACTGACATGATGCTCAAAGGAAATGTTTATTGGAGCATTTTGGATTTTGGATTTTTTGATTAGAGATATTCAAATTGGGCTTGGGGTTCAGCCTGTAATTCCAGCACTTTGGGAGGCCGAGGTGAGTGAATTGCCTGAGCCTGTGGGTTCGAGACCCCGCCAGGCAACTTGGCGAGACCTCTTCTCTACATTAGATAAAAAATTAGCTGTGTGTGGTAGTGCGTGCCTGTAGTTCCAGCTACTTGGAAGGCTGAGGTGGAAGGATTGCTGGAGCCCAGCAGATCGAGGCTGCGGTGGCCGGGAGTGTGCCACTGCACTCCAGACTGGGTGATGGAGTGAAACTCCAACTCAAAAACAAAAAAAAAAGTATGTTTCTGCAGATATCCCAACATTCAAAAAAAAGTCCGAGCCCCAAAACGCTTCTGGTTTCAAGCATTTTGGATAAGGGCTGGTATTATAATTCATCTTTTTTGTTTCTTGTGGTTACCTCTATTAAAATTTTTAAAAATCAAATTGAAATGTTTTTATCCTTATATGGAGGAGGATGAGTTTTATGTCTGTATAACTCATGCAACACTATAAACATCTGTTTTGTAGACATTATCTTGCATTTTGATATCTGTGTTACCAGATACAGATGACTGATTTATCAGTATTCTAAGTTAACTAGCTTAAGAATGAATTGGCATCTCATTATTATGTAAGTCATAGCACAGGAGATCTATATTATATACTATAATGTTTTCTTCGATGTGGCTACTCCATGTCAGCCAGCCAGTTAGGATGGGGTTAGAAGCAAACTTTCAAATCAACATCTTTTTGTTTAGGAGTACTGATTTAGGGGATGATTTAGTTGTGCTATATGGAATCATGCAACTAAGGAAGTGCTAGAAGGATAGTTTAAACTCCAGAAAGAACTAGAGAACAAAGAAAATCTGGTATGAAGTTTAACTGAAGAGAGCCTTGCATCTAGCAGTAATCAACAGAGAAACTAAAAATCAGAAGTAGGGAGGGGAGAATAGGTGTTATTCTTCACTTGGGAAGCAAAGAATAATGCAATATTTTATAAAATAATATTTTAAATTTAAATTTTAAATAAAATTCTATGTACTAATTTTTTGTCCTCCTTTAATCATCATAGTATGCTTTACTTGAGAATTTTGCTGAAAATTTTTCTTTTTTTTTAGTTGGTTTCTCATTCTGTCGCTGAGGCTGGAGTGCAGTGGCATGCTCACAGCCACCTCAACCTCAGCATGCTGGGCTCAGGCAATCCTTCTGCCTCAGCCTTCCAAGTAGCTGGAACTACAGATGCATGTCACCACACTCGGCTAATTTTTTGATTTTTTATGGAGACTAGGTGTTGCCAAGTTGCCCAGGCTGCTCTTGAACCCCTGGACTCAGGCAGTCCTCTTGCCTCCACCTTCCAAAGTGCTGGGATTACAGGCGTGAGTCACTGTACCCGGCTAGAGATTTTAGCATGTTATTTAGCAGCAGGATTTACTTATGTTGAGGTCAAATCAGTGCTTACAGATTGATGAGTGGATTGATTTCAAAGTCACTGCTACTTTCAGTTCTTTTAATTGTGAGAAGTATGTTGTTTTCTGTCACTGAGAATGAATCTGGCATTATATTTTAATTGTAATCTTTTTCATAAATAAATACTTGTTATTAGAGGTTAGAAGCTTTATTTTTGAGTTGGAGTCTCA